CTGAAACAACCTCTGGGCTGTTCTAAGTCAGGGCATGGCTGACTCACAGATTGAACCCTGAAACAACCTCTGGGCTGATCTAAGTCAGGGCATGGCTAACTCACAGATTGAACCCTGAAACAACCTCTGGGATGATCTAAGTCAGGGCATGGCTAACTCACAGATTGAACCCTGAAACAACCTCTGGGCTGATCTCAGTCAGGGCATGGCAGCATAGCTAAATATAGTTGAGAGCAAGTTTGATCAATATTTTCAGACATAACAGACTTGGACACATTTTCTGTGGAGTATGAACCTCCAGAAACAAGTGACGAAGAAAAAGATGAAGATGATTCAGATGAAGGTTAGAAAATATAATGTCAGTCAGTCTCCAATGTTTTGAACCCCAACCCCTTGGCTGATCTAAGTCAGGTTACAAATTTGAATTAATAGCATACTGAATTAACAAAATGTTTCAATTTTAGAACCTGCAATAATAATATCATCAGATGACAGTGACGAGGACCCTGGTGCCGATGGTGGGGATGAATTTGATAATGAGGAAAATAGTGACAGTGAAGACTCATGGGAATGTTTGGAGTGTTGGACCATGAACCATCCAATGACAACCAAATGCTATAAGTGTTGGAAAGAAAGAAGCTTTGCACTGCAACAGTTCGTTAGGTAATATATAAAATTTATGTTTGCATTTTGTATTTCTTGAGATAAATATCACTTGCTTTGTGTGATTTTTTTGCTTTTGGCATTTTTTATTCCTTAATTATTTTAGAGACCACTATCCCTCATTTTCTATTTGACATAATTTTGTTCAAATAACATAACCACAACTATAAATTTGCATTCAACTTAGTGAATGAAAAGAGCCACTCTTCATCAATTTATCAAAAAAGATCTCTCAAAATGTAGAGCTGTGGATCAAGGAAGCAAAGTATGCTATCTCATATACTTACCTCTTATTTTAGGACTGTCTCAGCTCCTGTTGCATCCAATAATATCAGTATTCCAGTAATTCCTGTTATTCCAAGTCTTCAGCGGTGTAAAACAGATTTCCCATGTGTTCAAATCGACTCTGTCATCAATGCTGAAAAACAATCTCATCTCTCTGCTTCGCCAAGTTCTGCTACTGAATCATTAACTTTTCTAGCTGACAAAAAGATGCAAGTTTCTCTTTCTCGCTCTTCAAGCAGTTGTTCTAGTACTACACAGACTTCTTGTGACAGTGGTGTCTGTGTGTCCTCTTGTGAGACAGACACAGAGAAGACAATCTCTGTCAGTGTGATAAATAACCAACATGAAAAGTTGGATCAACAAGAACATTTAGATTCTAATGCTATATGTCTTGGTGCTAAGAAAGGAGATTCTTCCTCTGCTTTTAGTACGTATTCTAATCTGGTAATACCTGGAGCTACAACTTCTTTGCTTTCTTCTGATTTGCCTCCTGTCGCTGTGCCCTCCATGTCCTCTACCGAAAAAAATGCTACAGAACAACCGCTGTGTGTGATTTGTACAACTGCACCAAGGAATGCCAGCATTATACATGGTCGTTCTGGTCATCAGGTTTGTTGTATCACATGTGCTGAAAAGCTAAAGGCAGCTAAGAAAAAATGTCCCGTTTGTCGCAGAAAAATTCACTATGTCATTAAGAACTTTCTGTAGTTTTTTCTTTCTTATCGCTTACCTTGAAATTGTTTTTCAATAATGTCAGTTTATTTACATTTACCTAGTTTCACCACACATACACATCATCATAAGTTGTTTACAAGAGGCACAGTTACTTATATAAAGGATCAAAAAATGAGAAGAGTTAAAATACAAGGAAATTTCTCTTCTTTTTTTTTTCTTTCAATTTTATTTATTTTTCCAAACTATATAACTGCTTTCTTTTAATGAATTTAATGAATCCAATGATTCTTGTGGATCACTTTGTGTAGTTTGCTAACTTGTTGACTTTCAGCCTGTTTCAAGTTTCTGCGACCTAACTGACTAAAGATGTCTGGTGTTTGGACTCTGTCAATTTGCAACCATGAACCATCCAATGACCACCAAATTTGCAACAGGCTGTTTGCCTTCTAATCATGAGAGATAAATATTCCCACAAATCGAAAGGCTAGAGTACAAACACTAAAAGTGTGCAACACTTTGCACTGTTTAATAGTAAATAGTGCTAATTAAGCAATAGAAAACAATAGGATTAGCATAATTTAGCAGTATTTAGTGGTATTTATGTTACACACTTACTGTATAGTGTTTGTGCTCTATTACCTATGGGAAAATGGTTGTTGAGTAATGGGAATAATTATTATTTGAGATCAGAATGACTTTGTACATTTTATTGTCTGAAGCCAAAATACCAGACATCTGGAGTTGGTTAGGTTACAGGAGCATGGACAAATGCATTCCTGTGTGTTTGATTCCTTGGCATCTGTGTGAGTGTGTGTGCATCAATTTGATTATTAATGGTTTAATGATGAATATATATTTGTAATATAGTTTTAATAGCAATAATATAGTAACAATCAGTAGGTTGCACCCTATACTAACACTGTATGTACATGTAATCTAATCAGCGGTGCACAGCGGTGCCTTTATTCCCCATACTGTGTGCATTGGCATGTATGCATGTGTTGCAAATCCAAGATGTTGTCCATTTCATCCCCTAAAACAGTCCCACAATGCACTGCAATGCCAACGTGACCCAGTTATTCCTTAACTTTGGAATAACTAATTAGAGTACATTATAGGTGGTGACAGCTTTGAGCTCTGTGCTGTAATAATCTTGTTGCATGGGACCGTGTATCCATGCTTTGACTAGCATCTTTGTAAAGTTGTAGCACAACAACTTTTGAGCTGTGACACTAAGTAGACTGGTCACAAATTTGATTATACTTGCTGACTAGCATAAGTTATTGACTCAACATGTTAACCATTGTTTAAACCTTGCAAACACCTACTGCTCAGTACCCAACCCTTATTTAACAGCCACCTGACTATTCTTTGAGGGTAACCCCCATCTGACTTTAGTGATTGATTTGCTACTAACCAGTATTCTCTATACCTGTAGCTTATGAATACGATACCTTTATGAAATTTTCCTCTCAATAGGTAGCATTATTCTTGAATAATATTGAACTAGGAAGATAAATTTACAATTTTTTTATAACATAGATATCTATATATGTATTTATTTACTATAGTATAATCATTGTTATTAAAGTCCTAAGAGTCTGTAGACATGTAGACAATGTTGGGTCAAATACAATATACTCTGGAATGGAAACCATAAATTAATTTAAATGCTTGGGATCGAGCATCATGAATCATCCAATTAAGGTATTCAACAATCCACTTTGTACTTGCCATTAACCATTTTGAGATGGTGGGCTAGATTGGGTTCAAACATCTTTTGTTATACGAAGATTTACCCAATCTAGACCAGAATGCATCTTGTTTAACAAACTTCAAAAAAGGCCTATTGTATCTTGGGTATCCATACCAGAGTGCATTATTTGTACCCCAATGTAGTGGGTCATTATTTAAATCTACCTCACAACAGCATCAATACCAAAGTTAATAATCTATTATATTATTATTATTATTATTCATTATATTTGTTAACATTACTTAATTGAATATTAATGTTTTAAAATATTCTTTGTTTATATTAAATTGTGAGTCATTGCTTATAGCAATACTTGTACTTACTCTAATGATATAGATATACTCATGTAGTTTGTTAAGTAGGAGAAAGAAAGCTGATAGTCATGTCAGCCATTTTGGATGGTCAACAATAGGAGACTATTGTTTGATTGTGCAATGTGGTTGAATGCATGTGATCGTATCAACAAGACAAAACACAATCATATTTACTTTTCTATTTTATATAATCTTAGTTAAATATAACAGCTTTTCTGTGCTCTGTTCAGTAATAAAGCATGCAGGAAGTGATGTAAGAATGAATGCTTTTGGTGCTTCCTAATAGGATAGAAGGATAGAGCTAAATAGAAAGAAATATTGTAGTTTTATCAGCCATGAGAGCAAGATAATTCCGATGATGCTATCCTGAATGCACAACACACTTTCTTTATTTTTTTAAAGTGAATATATCTTTTGTAAGGAAGGAATTTTTCATTTTATGTATGTGTTAGTTCTTGTAGTGAGATAAATAGATGTTGTTTGGATTGAATAATGTGATCGTAATATTGAGCATTTACTGCTAGGGGTTTTCTGTGGGAAAAAATCATCAAAATTAGCATGTATCACAATATCATTATTATTAAAGATTTATGATTTTAAAGAAAACATAAAATTTATAAGATATGCCTTTATAAGGCTTTGAAGTAAACCCATCATTCAGTTGGGTCTGTATCATGCTATATAATAAGGAACCTTATGTTTCTGTATTCTTTGTATTTAGGGTGTAGTTTTGTGCTGGTAAATAGATTGGCTTCCTGTGGCGAAATAAAATCCTAACCACAATTTTGATTCAACCAACATTAAAAACCTCCGTGAAAAATTTCTTCAAGATACCACAGGAACCCTAACTATGTGTAATGACCATGCATAACGCCTTGTTCTATTCTAGGTTGTATTGTTATTCCAAAATAGGAATTTCGAATAGGATCTACAGTTGAACCTGTTTTAGATTAGATCGGTTTAGTGTTGTTGAACCAATACTCAAGAAAGCGTGTCAAGACCCAGGTTGTCTGGGCCCTGCTGCACACGCAAAAAATCGCTTTAAGACTGACTCCTTGCGAATGACGTCATTTTGAAATGATGACGTGTTGAGGTCATGTAATTTTGATATCATGACGTCATTTTTAAGAAGGGGGCAATTTTGTTTTATTTGTTGAGCGTAGATTGTCCCGTCAACATATTCTGTTCACAATTAACCCGATTTCAGATCCATTCGTTAAACTTTATTTATTTTCTGTCTTGCATGCTTTTTTGTTTTTAGCAATTTCTGTTTCTACTTTTGTTTAGTGTTTTACGTTGTTAGACATAAATATAAGCTATCTAAATTTGCATGAAAAGACTTTTCTTGTCGTTTTCCTCTTTACTGGAGGATGAGACAGGTTCAGACAGAAGTTATACATTAATGACATATGGAATGGTCGTAGATTAGTTTAGCATTGAACAGTAGGGGTTTTATATCTCTATTTTTGAAATATTCAGTTTTATGTATTTTATAGAATATTTTTGCTGTTTATGAGGTAGATTTGAATATTGAGTAACGGAGCGATTTGTGAAAATGTAATGAAATGAAATTACCAATAAACTGATTTTCTATCTAGTCATTCTCAGTTGTCATAATAAACACACTATTTATTTTTACACATATATATGTATATACGTGTGAAGTGAAGAAATCACACGACCATAATTCGTTCTCTACAGAACTGTTTCGTGAGTCGCACTCACTCGTCAGAAGATTTTAATGTTTGAATATTTCGCTCTACATAAAGTATCGAGCACTGTTCTACTGGCGATCGACTACACACACACAAGTATATATATATATGTTTCGTAAGTGAAGTGCTTCGATATTTTTGGGGTATTTACGCAAGTCCAACCCGACCCTTCTCAATAATCTAATGGTTAAAAAAATTACGATAAATAAACGCGTATATTATGCGTGACAATGTACCATTCCATCGAGAATAGACTGTCACATGCTATAGAAACATGATCGTGGGATTTTTACTTTTTGATTTATTGAAATAAGGACCATACTTCTAGACATCGAGTGCTGAACCGTCGTATGGCAGCGCGAAGCATTTACGGCTACGCCGGAGATTTCGACCCCGACACCGCTATCCGGAGAATTACAGACTGACTCGGGAAGCTCGGCCGAAGCCTAAGGGAGAGGTTAGTCGGCCCCTAGACCGTAGATGATTAACCCCTTGCTATGACCAACATACTCAAAAATCTTAATTGTGACGCTGATGGCTTTGAACGCATAGTCTCTCCTTTTCTTTTGGGATGCGTTTAGTTAAACTACGCCACGGATAGTAAATTTGATCTGGATAGTTGCGCATGCGCCTGCCCCAAAGAAAGGAAAAAATGGCACTTATTTGCTGATTGGTCAATTCTGAGGCTTGGAGAAAATTAAGTGAAGTGGATAACAACGCCGTGTCGGAAGTTGAGGACAAGGCTCATTCGGTATTACTATAGCTTCTTTCAATTGTTTTTATATTATTCCTCTAGTTTTAAGTGAAAAACGAATTTAATGGAGTTGAACAACGCAAAGAAATTTGAACATTAAAAAAAAAAAAAAAAAAAAACGAAAAGAGGAGAGATAAAGGGAAAAACGTGTGACTTCTGAGAGCTATTGGTGTATTTGACAGCAAGTACTTGTATGTACTGAGTACAGTAGTAGTTAATTAATCTAGTTTGATTATTCCGGCTCGAATTCAAATTAAATATATCAAAGGATTTCATTTTATTTAGAACCCATTTAATTTTATTCCTAATATTTCAAAATTCTCGTTTTTCTGAGCCATCCGTAAAACGATCCAGGAATAATATGACTGTTACAGCTTTTTTCGTAGCTGATATTTTGCTCTAAAATTATCTAACCTCGTTAACAACTTCTTTTGATTCTTACTTCTTATAATTCTTTGTACTTAACGATCACCTGTCTTGCTATAAATCATTACAAAAGGTGTTCTGAATCCTAAATAAATCTATATGGTCATTAATGCAAGAACTGCAAATGCGGCTTCGACAGTTAGTCTAAGATGTACTCGTTTTAAAACAGTACCTTTATTTGGTTTCCTTTAAGTAAAATTAATGCGAGGTTTTAAAAACACATTTTCAATTTTCTCGATATTTTTTCATTGGCTTCAAAGATGCGAAAGTCAGAATTTCCAAGAGTGGTCAAAACCAAGGTAATGGTTAGGAAAAAACTTACAAAGAAAATCGAAAAAGACGACGTGGAAAAGCAAATGGAAGACGACGTACTACAAAAGGTATTATAATTTTTTTGAAGCTAAAATGTTTTCGTTTTTCCCATATGATATCCAAAATCATATTTAAAGGGTTTAAATTTTCTAGTAAGGCAAAACTAGGAACTAAAACTCATTGACCCATATTTTATGAATTTATTTTATTTGAAAGCAGTCGAATGAATGAGTACATACATAATTCGAAACATTGAATATCGGTGTAAATTGAAGTGGCTTCTCAATGGGCAGAACTCAAGTCGCGTTAAAAAAATACGCTTATCTTTTTATCAAAGAAAATAGATTCAGTTCCCTTGTTGCTATGCAATCATAGTTTACATGTTTGTCCTTATTTTGATTGATTTACCGTAAGTGGGAATCAGTTGGCAATTGTCGCTGTCGATCGGAATGGCTTGGTTTTGCCCGCGAAATTCCCCCCATTTCGCAGCGGAATCGCCGACTACCTGGCAAGCTCACAGTGAGATAATCTCGAAAAGTTATTGCTTTAAATCATAAAATAGTTTGAAGAAACGGCTTACAAGATAAAAGCTATAATCTTCTAACGAAGTATTGTTTACCAAGTGAAAACCTAATATCTACTGTTGTTTACAGAGCGTACTAAGATTCAGTAGCGACGTCTTCACTTGTGAGATATTTTAATCCCTTAACAATACCAGAAATAACCTACTTCTAAAGATAAACCAACTCATTAGATTTTCTGAAACGAAGTTTTTAGTCAATTTAGTAGTGACAAAGAGAAGTGATGGAGTTTAGGGCTTCAAGAAGGTCCAAGAAGGCTTCTACCCTCAAGAAACAATCTTTAAAGGCTCTAAAAGTCGTGGTATGTTAGAATTTTAGATTAAATTTTGTCGTTGCGCTTTCTTTTATGCATATTTAAGTCAGTCGGTCTTTATTTACTGCCACTGAAAAGTAACACTTGCCTTTCGTGCTCGTTACACGGATCTAACAATCGTGTTTATCGCTGTTAACGTTCATCCTCTGCACGGCATACTTGGTGATAAGCCACCAATGAAAATAAAATTCAAAATATAAAGTTAAATGAACTTTTGTGATGACGTTATCAAGTGATCCGCATTAGTAGAACAACTATATTTGAAACTTGAACGCCTGGCCTTTTTTTTGTAAAACGGACATTTTATTTTCTCTCCCTAGTAAGTTATTAAAGTGTAGAACAATAATCAAAGGCAATTCAGTTTTTTTTTCAATCTGGAAAGACTTCGAGTACTGGAAACAGGAGAATTAGGGCTTACTTTAGGTCAGCGGCTATTTTGTCTTTTTGCTTTTGACCCCGTCCATACGTATCCGTTTTTGCATGAAAACGCAATTTTTTCTTAGCGCAATTGGCACTCTTCCGTCCACACGTATCTGGCAAATACGGTCTCCGAAAACGGAACTTTTTAGAAACGGTCTCCAGAATGGAAATTTTTTAAAACGCTGTTTATCCGTATTCATGTGGACGGAGGTCGACGGAGGACGCTGACGTTATAGTATTGCGGATACGTGTGGAAGAGTAAAAACGATCTGAAAAAGGTACGTGTGGACGGAAAAATATTTAGAAACGGATTAAAAAGTTTGCGTTTATTTTTCATGCAAAAACGGATACGTGTACGTGGACTGACAAGGTCTTCGTTTTTAAAGGAAATAAATAAAAGCCAGAAAACTTTCGTTGTTTTGGATCCTCGGCCCAATTTGTTTATCGCCCTCAAAACTGGCTATTACAATGAGGCAGAACAAAAGGTAGCTGATAAAGAATTCGTAAAATGAAATATTTTGATTACCCTATTCTTCAGAGACTCATCATTAGAGAAACAACAAAGGTGTAATATGTGCTTTTCTGAGTGAATAAAACAATAGCGCAGCATACCAAAGGCAACCCGGGAAATACGCCTTCAAAATTGTTTAGGTRTACATTCACAGGTAGCCCAAGCTTGGTTTCTGTGGTGTCCTGTTATAAGGAAATGTATGG